CAAATGTCATACATTTCAAGGAGTTTAGCAAACGGTTAGAGTATTAATCCATTTCATCATACTTTTCAATAATATTCACTACCTCTATATGACCTTAGAATTTCCACTTTTCTATCTAGTTGTTTTTCAACCTCATTTATGTATACTTCAAGAATACCCACTGCTTGAAATTTTTCATGCAACAAATAGATATATCCATAACGTGAAAAATCAACTATAAAGGCAATAAAAGACTTTTCTCCTCCAAAAGATGGAACATCAGAAGGTTTACAAATGTCTGTATGAATAATTTCAAGAAGCCCTATACTTATTGTGGCTTATTTCTTTGTGTGTTTGGTTTGTTTACCCTTAATACAATCTACACACACACCAAAATCAGTAAAGTTTAGATTAAGAAGAATCACATCCTTTACTAATTTTCCTAACCTTTCACTAGATATTGACCTAGTCTTTTATTCAACAAGAAAGATAAATTTTCTATCAATTGAGTTACGCTTAATTCTAACATTATGATGCAAGATCAAAAGGTTTTTAATAAATAAACTATATAGTTTGAATTTACAGAAATCATCAACAATAATATTATAACTCACAAATTAGAATTTCTTGAATAAATATCATTATCAAATTTAAATGAAAAACCATTAACATAAAATTTTGAAATAAAATCAAATTATGGGAAATTGAATAAACATAAAACGTTTAAAATAATTTAAATAAAATCCACTGTCTAACATTAAACATAATGTTACAATGGCTTCAACAAAACTTTTTCCTAATTATCATAAATAAGAAATTCTTATTTGAATTTGTGATTTAGGCCATAAAAAATTTCTTGCATTTATTAGAAATATAAATATTAGTACTTAAGACAACCTATCATAAATTATAAAGAATTTTAATAAGTAATTCGAAATATACAAAAGGTAAAAGCGTACCATTCTTTTTCAAATCATTCTTTATATTTCATGTAATCTTTCTAAAAGTATTCAATACATCAATGCCACTTTTTCATTATTACATTCATTTCTTTTAGTAGATTGACCTAAATCTTTTAATTTTGGGTGTTGCTCATTTAATGCCTTTTTAGGCTTATTCCTAAAATTTATTTCTACCTTCTTGAGTCATCAAATGAACATAATGATTACCTTGCTGCTTAAACCTTGTCTCCTTCTAAATTAACATAATGGTTAATTCATTCACTTCCACTTGTCTTAATAGTGTTAATTCGAAATGACCCATACTGAGTAAACAAAAAATTGAGAATAAATTGAATAAGAAAATTTCCATCGACAATCATCTATAAGGTTCTCAATTTTGTAGCAATACGAATACTAACACAAATACATAGTAGTGATATTAATTAATAATTTTCGTTTTAGTTATTTATTTACAATACGAAAACATTGTTCTAGTCAAAATATTCCTTAACACTATTACTATGGGGAATAATTATTCGTATAACCATAATACTTAATCTGTTCGATCTCTCCCAAGCTTTATGGGGAATCTTTTTTTCCTCACTATTTTTATCAGTAATAACAGTAGGTTTCTCAATTTAAAATGTTAAATCAAGATTTAACACATTTAAATTTTAAACCCAACTTACTCATTCCATTATGAGAAGTTAGTCTTATCAAGAATCATAACAGATGTAGCATACGAATTAAGGGATATAATAAAATAAACATGATAAGATAAAATACTCACAACAATAATGCTTTGAGTTAACAACACGTATGTATAACTTAAAAATATAAATACAATGTATAACTGTAGTACCTCTTTGGGTGACAATTATAAAATACTAATAATGATACTTATATATATTTATATGTATACCTTTATTGGTGATGCATTTTTTTAATTAAACAGATAAGTTACATTTGGATATCCTATATCTACCCAATTAAAAAATACATACAATCCCTTAATGTTCATTTAATCACTTGAAAATCAATTCCCTTTGAGGAATTATTTCTCATAATTAAATAAACTCAATATTCATGAATATCACAAAAAATAAAAAGTATCATAATTCATGAAATATTGCTATTATGTTTACTACTAAAATTAATATTCATCAACCATTATGGTTAGGCCACTTTGGTAGCTACCAACCTTTACATAATATGAATATTAAATTAGATAGTAGCTAATTATGATCAATTATGTCTACTACAAAAATTAATATTCATCAATCATTATGATTGGGCCACTTTGGTAGCTACCAATTTTCACATAATATGAATATTAAATTAGACAGAGATTAATTCATCATTAAGTTATATTTACTACTAAAATTAATATTTATCGACCATTATGGTTTGGCCACTTTGGTAGCTACTAACCCTTACATAATATGAATATTAAATTAGCTAGTAACTAATTAATCATTAATTTATCCATTTAATACTATACACACATACTCATACTGATCGATCCAAATTTAGATAGGTTCGATCCCAAAAATTTAATAGCCCAAAAATTCAATAAAAAATATCCTTTTACTTTATATACTTAATAAAATATGTTATTTTTATTTTCGGACTTGAAAATCATAATTGAATCAATTTTAAATTGATTCTCCAATATGTATGTATGTTTGGATACAAAATAATAATTTATTTATATATCTAACAAAATTAAATTAAATTTCTAAACTCACACATTATTCAAGAATTTTTTTTTTTTTTTACAATAAAATAAATCATTCTCCATTAATTTATCATATATGTAATTAATGATATATGATAACAAATATATATATAAGTTTGTACAAAAACCAGTAGTTAGCATTAAAATTTATCACCTCGATTTATGCAAAAAAACAAAATCAACTATTTCAATTCAAATTTCTATTCTAGTCCTGCACGGAATATATAAAAAAAAAAAAACTCATACATATACTTCAACTATCAAACAATTCAATAAGGATAAAAAAATCAATTTTTGGAAATCAATTTACAGGCTTAAAATTGATCATGCAAACCAAAATAAATTAATCAACTGATCCATCATACTAATCCATTATGCACCCATGATTCCAAAACAAATTTAATTATTTAATTTTAATTTTAATTTATATATATATTATTTATGCAAACTTTAGTGGAAAATAAAAAGTTCCTAAACCATAAGTTCTGATACCACATGTAAACTATAATAATTCGTGTTAAGCCATTAATCACAAATTTACATGAATCCCATATCTTAGAACTTCATGATTTTCACATCTGTATAATGCATAAATAAATGGTTAGATATAAATACCTCGATCTGTAATTGCAAGTCTTGTTGGGATTAAATCCAATGTCTAAATTCTTTAACCACGAACTAATCTGTAACTCTGATCAACAGGCAAAGGTGGAAACTGGTTTATCTCTCTTGGCCTTTTGCACACATAAAACTTTTACGTGTTGTGTTCATTAATCGTACATAATTAATGGGATATATGCACTTTTATAAAGGTAGAGAGAGTATTAGTTTTCCTTTTTAATAACCTTAATTCCACTTTTCATCAAAGTAAGGAATAAATAGGAAAACACATATTCAATAATTAATTACCATAAATGTAATTTACAAGTTGACCAACTAATATAATATTAATCTGATACATATTTACTTAACTACTAATTAATGAAATATATCACATGTCCAAAACATGTGGGCCACACAATATAAGAAAATATCTTACACATGAGCGATACATTAGTCCACCATCACCACCGTTCATAAAAGGACGAAATTGATGTGGAGAAGTACGAACTCGAAGGCTATCAGCGATGGAATGGTGAACTACTTGTCCTGAGATGAAGACATTACTATTGATCAATTCAACTCACAACTCACATGGTTCGATTCACTAAAGTGAAAAACATATTTGATTTTAGATTTAAAACACAGAAGTAATATATATCAGTGCGAGAGAAAAAAACAAAAGAATCAGTTTCTATTCCCCACAATCATCATTTTATTTTCTTTTAAAATCTAAATACTTATTAATATTTTATTGTGCCACTTCATCATTTCTTCTTATGCGGCTTAAGGCAATCATTATTCTTACACTGGTTTATTTCATCCATGACAATATTTTTTTTGGAAGGTAATTCATTACAACACTTACCCTCAAAAAATGATTAGATGGTCCTGATCCATTTGATATTTAGTGGTCTAATAATTTATCTGAATCAAGACACTTTGTAATATATTAATAGACATTTTCTTAATCTGAGAGTTGTATTTAACTATTTCACTTATGGTCAACAACCAACTAATAATTTTTTCATAACTTTTTTTTCTCAGTAGGCCAATAAAAATAAAACATGTGTCAAAAAAATTTAAAACAATTATAATCCGATCGAACTCATTTTTTTTAGGTTTAAAAAACGGTAACCAGATATTGTTTCTCTCTCTTTGCAATCAGATCTGTATCTGTGTCTCATATGCCACAAATCTAAATATCCTTCCATTAATAGAAGAAATTATAAGCAAAAAAATGTTACAAAATTGACATGTTTGTTTGCGTGTGGACTAGTGATTGACTCAAAATCATATAATTAATTTTCTATTAATATAGAAATTAATTATTACCTCTAATTAAAAAAACAATTAAAGAAGCACCAATTTTAAACTCAAGCCTCACAAAATCTCTACTGCTAAAACGTAAATCATAAATGCAAAACATGGGCTAAGCCTGCTGCGGTATCTGTACAGATTTGGGCTTGTCAGGTGTGACCCAATTGTACATTTGAAAAGTTTTATGCCGTGAGATACACGCCCGACCTAGCCCAGTCAAGGTGGGCCACAATTTAAAGCTACAAATGCTTGTTTCTGGTAGGCTCGACCCGACCTTCCAAGAAACCGAGCTTGGAGAAGGGGGAAGGGCAGACACGTGGCTAATAACTATTGGGAGAAACAACATTGAGCCTTTCTCTTATTGGTTAGTACTTGCAATACCACGTTGAAAAGAGTAGTCAGTCGTTGATGCCTGATGTCGTATAAACTCACCCGTTTGCGTGGTTCTGTATTCTCGTTATTGTTTAGAGAGAGAACTTACCAAAAAAGAGGTTTTGAAATAGAGAGATTGTGGGTGTGTTTTACAGGGTCGACGGTTGATTTCTCAGTTTTAGAGAGAGGGAAAGAGAGAGTGAGAGCGTTTCCACGAATTTCATACATTGGCGAATCTTTTATCCTTCGTTGGCGCGGTCCGTAGATCTGATAGGCAAACCCTAGATTTTCAGTTGGAGGGTTCGAATCTCTCCTGATCTCTGTGCCGAAGCTTTATGGCGCATCGAAGATCGAAATTATTGTTCCTGATATGCGTTTTATCGCACGTTCTAATCGCCATTGCAGGGTAAGTACGGATAGTCCCTTTTGAATATTGACGTGTATATATATATATATATGTATGTGTGTGTGTATGATATGTTTATATGAATAATCTCAGAAAGAGCTATTATGATATTCTTCAAGTTGCAAAGGGTGCTTCAGATGAACAGATCAAAAGAGCATATCGGAAGCTCGCACTGAAGTATCATCCTGATAAGAACCCTGGAAATGAAGAAGCTGACAAGAAATTTGCGGACATCAATAATGGTACGCTCTGATATAGTCTGTTTTATGTGTTGATTTGTTGACTTGTTAATTTAAATTAGTTTACTTATAATTGATTCATTATCAGCTTATGAGGTGCTATCGGATAGCGAGAAGAGGAGTATATACGACAGGTATGGTGAAGAAGGTCTGAAACAGCACGCTGCCAGTGGTGGCAGAGGTGGTGGAATGAACATCCAAGACATATTTAGCTCGTAAGTGAACGTCCTTCAAATTTTTATTTTTCTCTTTTATGTTTCCATGAATGCTTATTCCTTATAATAACTTTATTGGAATGAAATTTGAACGGGCATTCTATAAATCAGATGGAATTTAATATGATAATATTTTCTTTGTTTTTTTTTTACCCAACTGTGAATACTTTGAACAACTTCTTCCCTCTATTGCTAAAACTAAATATGAATTCTTTGAATTACTTTGTTTTTCCACTAATAAACAATTTTAATAGTGATACGGATAGTTGAAATATATTAATTGGGGACTAATACAGGGATTCACTTTATTATGTATGTATGTATGTATGTATATGTTTGTATGAACTATGATAGTGTAATCTTTGATTGGTGCTTCCTTTATTGGCCTCGCGCCCTATTCAAAGGCTTGATGCCACGACATACTTGATAAGCGTATTGCAAAAAGTTTATTTTATAATAATATGAAGTCTGATCCTTCATTTCACATTGAGAGTCTTTGGAGTCCACCATACCTGCTTGGACCATCACTGGCCATCATTTTTTATAGGGCTTATGCACATTTAAGAATAGCCATCTTTGCCATGCAAAATATTGCATAACTCTGAATACATGATTGGTTCCTTTATTTTCCATCATAGTATACTTTGGAGTTTATGGGTCCAATATTTTTCCCTTTTTGCTGATTTTGTGAATCTGTACTTTGGAACTCATGGATTCACTTTTTCTACACAGTCTCCTGATGTCTATAACCTACATTTGGTTGCTGTTTTGTATGTACAAGTATAGTCATTTCTAATTGGCACATGCTATCTCTATGAATCAACCCATCACACTTGAATTGGCAGTTGTTGCTTTTGTTTCTATTAGCAGTAACATCTATTTTTCACATGGAAAGTGTTGTTCCAGTGTAAAACATTTTGTATCATTGCTGACAAGATTTCTTCTAGGTTTTTTGGTGGAGGCCCAATGGAAGAGGAAGAGAGAATCGTGAAAGGTGATGATGTCATTGTGGAATTGGATGCAACACTAGAGGACTTGTATATGGGAGGATCACTGAAGGTACGGAATTTGATCATATGTTGAACTTGTGAGAAATGTGTTTATTCCTTCCAAAAAGAAGTGGACTTATTCTCAACTGTTTTGGGCTGACATAATAAAGAACGTCAATAATTGATAGATGAAAAATGATAGATGAAACTGCCTACAGAATATTTTAACATTGATGCATGTCAATAACTGTGAACACTATTCGGTTCTTTTTGTTATTTTATATATTAATAACCACAAATTTGTTAGGAATGTGTGCTCAACTCATTTTGAATTATTCATATACCTTTACAAATCATAGTCAACTGGTGTTGTCTGTGTAAGAATGTTGGTGAGTCAGTGGATCACTTTCTTTTGCATTGTCCCGTGGCTCATGACTGCTGAAGTCTTATTTTTGGTCTGTTTAGCGTCCAATGGGTTATGCCCCGGACTTCAAGGGATTTGATTGACGTGTGGAGTGGCCACAGGGTGGGGGTTCAATGCTCATGACTATTGGAGGGCGACCCCCTTTTGTGTTTGGTGGAGTCTTTGGAAAGAGCGGAATAGAAGATCTTTTGATGGGGAGGAATCTCCATTGGGGCGTTGAAGTTTTCTATTATTTGTTCTTTTTTTAGTTGGTTTATGGGGGGAAATTGTATATCTTTAGATGAAATCGTGAACTTTTTGGGTTCATTGGGTCCATAGGACTCCCTTTTTGGTTTCGGTATTTGTATAACTCTTGGGACGCGTTCCCCTTTTGATCGCTTTTTGTTACATTTTTACTTATCAAAAAAATAAAAAGTTATTCATATACCTTTGAAACTTGCTAAGAGAACGTTGAAGAGATTTTTATCTCATAACAAATGTAGCCCATTTCTCCTTTTCTGGATAGAACATTAGGGTCTACATTACACCCAGGCATGGACCTACCTTGTATCCAGTGAGGGCAAATTGCCCCCACTGAAAATATATGTATATATTTTGGTATTTTATACCTGTTGTTTTCTTCTTTTTTTGTATTAAAAACCTATAAAATTTTAAAATTGTTCCCACTAAAATTACAGAAAAACCCCACTATTGCTCCCACAACATAGGCCGTCACCCCTACATAATTTTCTGGGTCCGTCCTTGGTGTAAGAATTTGTGTTCAATCAGTTACTTCAACCTTTTGAAGTGTCTGTGAAACTTTCCAATATCAGCCCAGTGTAAATTTTATGAGTTATGTTACACTGTTGGATATATATATATATATATATTAATCCGTAAATCTTCATTAAGGCAGCTGGAAGACAGAACAAAGTCAGGATATTATGCCAAGGCATTTGACATCAGGGCTAGTTTTTTTTTTTTTTTCCCTCTCTCTCTCTCTCTCATATTGTGCTGAGGATTTTCCTCTTTACTTCTTACTGGTTGGTTATTTATTCATTTTACACGTCTTATGTGGAATCCATCAGGTTTGGAGGGAGAAAAACATTTTAAAGCCAGCCCCGGGTAAGAGACGTTGTAACTGTCGAAATGAGGTCCATCACAGGCAAATTGGTCCAGGGATGTTCCAACAGATGACAGAGCAGGTCCATGTCTCTTAATAATCCTGTAAATTCTGTAATAGAAACTGTTCTGAAGATATTTCATTTTTTTCTTGATTTTATTTGCTTATTATTATTATTATTATTATTATTTTGGGTGGTGGGGGGGATTTTGGGAAGGTGTTAATTTCCATGGTTGGGGACCGGGACCATGTTGGCCTTCTATCCTTTGGCTGTTTCATTGTATCTATATTATTCTACCATCCATTGTACCTGTCTTTGCTGCTATTGAAATTCTAAAGTCATTTAATATGTCCTTTCAGGTCTGTGAACAGTGCCCAAATGTGAAATACGAAAGGGAGGGGTATTTTGTCACTGTTGATATTGAGAAAGGAATGCAAGATGGTGAAGTAAGCTTTTTCTATTTTACTGAATTAAAGTGCCATGTTTCCTGCTTGTATATTATTCTAAATTTCTCAATGCTCTACTTCATCATAAAACCTCCAGCGCATAGGAGTTCCCTAAAAAAACTCACATGTTGACCATTATTTTTAATTGTTCTAGTAGAAAATTTTAGGTAGCCTTTTTTCTTTACTGTGGAACATGTTTTCCCTTAAACATAATGGTTTATGTTAAATGCTCCCCCGCCCCCAAATATTTGCTCAGAAGAAGTGCTTCCAGTAATGCATTTGTTGGAGAAACTAAATGTATTGTACACTTCACCCTAAAATTATTAGGTACCTAACTCTAAATTTTTTTTTTGGGGATCTGCTTCCAGAAAGAAGATTAACATTGAAGTGAAATGTGGTTTTTTATCAACTTATCTTGACATGTCTATAAATTATAACCTAGTTTTGCACTAGATTTTATGTTCATTAACTTCATTTTAAAACTGCTCATATCTATTTTGTTTCGCATATCCTTCTCCCATGTTATTTCCAATACTATAAAATGTTATGAGAAACATCGTTTTTGGCAACTCCAAATAGAATTTAAGGACGAAGCCATTTCTTGTTTTCACATTTTGTATGACACATTCTCCAACCCATGTGCAGCAATGATAATAATGGTGATGAGGACCATCCAAAAGTTTCTTAGGATTGTCGATAATAATGTTGACTTGTTGCTTACTTAACAAAAAAAAAAATAATGTTGACTTGTTGCCAATAATGGTGGTTGTCCTTTGGTACACCAGCACAGTTAGATTTTGCGAAATTCGTAAATGATTCATGATAATAATATTGTTGAGCATTGAAAGATGAGGCACGAGGATTACAATATTGAGCAGCATTCTTTTTACATCATAAATTATAGCTATCTTTTTCCTTGTCCTTTTACGAATTTTTGCTCATCTTTATATGGAAACAACGGAGAGAATGTTCCTCTTTATTGGTTTGGATTTCATTTTTTTATTAGATTTTCAGAATGGCACTTACTTCTCCTTCTACAGGAGGTGGTTTTCTATGAAGATGGTGAGCCTATTATTGATGGTGAAGCTGGAGATCTGAAGGTTTGGTTTTCATCCTTGATTTTGTAATGGGGCCTGGTCATTTAAGATGTGTACTGACAGTAACTTTTATGTTTGGGCAGTTTCGTATACGTACTGCACCCCATGATCGTTTCAGAAGGGAAGGCAATGACCTGCACACAACTGTGACTATAACACTGGTAACTTCTCCAGTACAGTACTCACTGTTGTTATGAGTTCATTATGCCACCAAATAGTTTTTCATGTCACCAAAACCAACATATTTGCTATTAAATATTCTTTTTACATATATTTTCTTTGTTGGAGGGACTCCAAATGTAGCATTTTAGTAGTTTTAGCTGATAATTCTTTTATTTTAGTAGTTTAAATCTGTGACCAAGTTGCCCTTATTTTTTATTTTTGGCTGTGTTGAATAATGTATGATTTCAGGCTCTTTGTTGGGCACTGGATTCTGTACTGCTCATTTTCTTTGAGGTTGTCATAGTAACACCAACAGGTCACCTTGTTAAAGAGTTCAGTTTGAAAGTATTTCATACTACCTTGAGTGATCTAGGCTAGAAAAACCTACTTAAAATTCACCTATTTGCATAGATCCACAAGGATACAATATTTATTTTCAAGATATTTGTTTTTGCATCTGTATACGAAACTTAGAAGCCCAGTTGACCAAGAAAAGGTGTCCAAAAAATTTAGTTGCCTTCATTTTTAGTGCATAATAAATATGACTAACGTGTATTGTGTTTCAGCTTCCTCACAAGGATCTAGTAATTTAGGGGATATTCAAACAGATTAAGTTGGTTTTCTCTTCAACGCGAGAGAGAGAGAGAGAGAGAGAGGGCTGCCTGTGAACGTAGCTTAACATCCTTTAGGAAATTCTAACAGCTCCTCAATTGTAACATTTTATGGCCAGAAGGTAATAAGAAAGAAGAAAGAGTAAGATAAGGATGGTGACCTACTGGTGCTAGATACTAGACTAAGAGAGAAGATGCACAAAGGAGATAAGTTGACTATCATTAGTTTGGGAAGGCAATTGTTCATTATCAATGTGGGCAATAATTCAAGGCTCCAGTCAGTTTTGATTTTGGTAACCTTCATGGAAGGTTGAGATTGGGTTTTTAATCTATAATCTGAATTGAGTAGGGTTTTGGCCATCCAGCCCCACTAGCACTTTCTGAAGTAGAATAAAGAGGATGGCCTCAAGAACAAGAAGGTAATAGTTTAACTTATACTATAATAGGATTTATGGGTGTGCTACGGGTAGAATGATTCAAGATCAAACAAGATGTTTTGTTTTTACTTATTAGCTGGAGAAAAAGATGTTTTTACTCTCTTTTTTGCTTTTTCTTATTCTTTCCCTTCTTAGACTTGGCTTTGACTCTCATGTGGGTTGGTTGGTGCTGAGTGAGGGCTGCCCAGTCAATAGAAATACAAAGTTGGACTATTCAAGTGATGTATGAAGAATACAAATGGTTCACGGATTGTGGCTAGTTGTAACGGGTTGGGTGGTTAGCGGGCTGAGCCAAAAGCTTAAGCTATTAGGTGGAGCCAACACCCAACCTATTTGTACCCATTTCACTTCCCATCTGGATTTGACATAGGACAAGACTCCCCTTGTAGCACTAGTCCTATTGAGCAACCTTGCATGGGGTTATGTTTTGCTGCTGTATTTCTTTTTCACAATGATGGTTTTCTTGTGGAGTTCATTTACCAAGCAAGCTATGTTTTTCTGCAGGTGCAAGCTCTTGTTGGTTTTGAGAAAACCATTGAACACCTCGATGATCATTTAGTGGACATTGGCTCAAAGGTGAGCATGAAGTATTCTTCAATATTTCATCCTTCCGTTTTACAAAACTAGTGAGATGGGTGATTGAATGTATTATTAAAAGGTATTATTTTTTGAAATTAACATTTTCGCTGCACAGGGAATTACAAAGCCCAAGGAAGTAAGAAAGATTAAAGGTGAAGGGATGCCATTACATTTTAGCACAAAGAAGGGTGATCTATACGTCACATTCGAGGTTCTTTTCCCTACTTCACTAAGAGAGGACCAGAAAACAAAGATAAAGGCTATTCTTGGTTAGGATATAGAACTATACAATTTCGCTGGGTCCTAAGTTGTTCCCATTGTAACATGATGAGGCCTAGATTCAGGCAGCCAGAGAAATTTTTTCCCTCTTATCAGTTTAACAAGTAATACATATTGCTTTAAGGTATTCTGCGCCTGACGTAGTCTTTCTAAGTTTCAAGGACTCTTAGCACTCTTCTTTTTTTTTTTTTTTTTTTTTTTAAATTTGGGGTATGGTTTCTTCCTCAATTCGGAGTCATATAAAGGATTACAACAGCGTTGAGCTTGTAAAAGTGCTACATTTTTGCTTTATTATTATTATTTTAATTAAAAGGTATTATATTTATGGGTGGTGCTATTGGCGCTCCAAAAAATACCTCTTGCGCTCCACTATATGTTTTAAAAATATAAAATGGCAACTTTATCTGCATTGCGGCATATCGTTGCTACATATGAACTTTGAAGCATTTTTTTCCACTATAAAATGTAGATTTTTAGTACTCAATTGCTCTAAATTTTTGGGATCAAATATTGAGTATACAGTTTTCAATTGTTTCAAAGCTTTGGGTTCCAAGTTTATTTTTATTGATTTAGAAATACAGAGCATCTTCCAGCTTGAAATGGGTGCTTTCGGAGCGTGGAAGAGAGAGGTTGGAAGGGATTTGGATTCCTGCAGAAGAAGTGGCGTACATGAATAAACTATCAATAGGCTTTCTTTCATAAATATTTTAAAGGGCAGCACTGTCATTTCAATTTAGTATAACTAGGCCTTTTTTTTTTAGCCCGAATATTACTACCCTATTTTTATTTGCAACTCTTGTTTTCATTTGGTTATAGTTTTTAAGGTTTTGGAGTGCCCCTATATTTTTTGTTCGTTTGGACGCATGAAAATTGAATTTTGACATCCATCCATCTTAATGGAAATAATATTAAACAATTTCTTCACTTTCTCTATGTTTTTTTTTTTTTTTTCCTTTTTTTTCTTTCTTTTCCCCTCTAGTTTTACTCATCAAGTTCCCAAAGTGCACTTAATTTGCTCATGTTGGTATGGTTTGGGGCTTTAAATTGAAACTTGAATTTTCACGTTGTTGTGGCTTCCCATGAAAATTAAATTTTGATACCAATCTTAAATGGAAATAATATTAAACTTTTTTATTTTTTCCTATGGGTTTACTCATCTATTTAGTTCCTAGAATGCAATTAATTTGATCATGTTGCAATGGTTTGGGGCTAATTGTTGCAGGAGGGTAACTCGAGCAGCTTCGACGGTTTGAGACGCTGTTCATAAAAAAAAATAAACCATCGCATTAAAATCAAGATGACTCTTGCGCATTAAAATCTAAAGTTTAACGTTACATTAGGAAACACCAAATGGCAATTCTAATTTTTGGGAAAAAAACACTTCTATTCAAATCATAATAAAAAGTTACTTATCAAAAAAGTAGACCCACAACACAACACAAAACAAAAGTGGTTGTCAAACAAACTCTCTAAACATATGAAATAGACACTTCTCAAGAAATTAACTCTTCAAAGTAGTAATTCACAATAAATCAAGATTTAGTGGAAAAGAAATTGAAGAGTAAAGGTTGACCCATTATGAATATGTATATATATATTTGAAGATTGACCTTATCATTACCTTGATAAAAAATAAAAACCAAAATTCGGCCGTGCGATTTGAGAAATCTATCACACTTATCAATAGTGAATAGTAATGGTATGTGGCACGGCAAGGTAAAACAAGGTTTATGCATTCGATTTTAAGCCCCTCTTCGAGAATTCAAAATTACCGTACTTAAAACCATTACAACATCCAAAACAGAAAAGAAATAATTTGAACTTTAAAATAATGAACCACAAGAACAATACAATTAAAGCAGACGAGATGATTAGAAACATAGAGAAGCTTGTCTTGTTGCATGGGCACTGTACAATTGTCTGGATCAGCAAGTTCCATCACTGTACCCACAGAATTTTGGGAATCAATAGTTACAAGAAATGAAGAGATGGTTGGAAGATATTCAAATTCCAACCAGGAAAGTAGCTCAATAACGGATGCAAGCTATTGTTTAATGTATGCAACTTGAAATATATCTGTATAAGCCTTTTTTTTTTTTAAAAAAAAAAAATTAAAAAAAAAAGCACACAAGTACCTATTCCTCATAAATACTTACCGAAGCAGAGAACATGCAAGAGCAGGTAAGTGGTTTAAATTCTGCCCCGTTACTCAACTGTTGTCAGCTTCTCTTCATCGACTTCAAAAGCCTTCCTTGCTTGTTTCAGCTCCTCATTCATAGATAACAGTTCAGTACAGCGGTTAAGTTTTGGCAAGTCCTACAAGGTCAAGGTTCAGCAGCAGCATTAATATTGAATCTCCAAAAGCATGAAAAAGCTATGCAACATCGTCAGACTATACCAATTTTCAAATGGAACACTTTGTTAAGTTATAAATGAGACACTAAGTGTTACCGGCCAATGTGGTTTTCTTAGAACTTACTGGGGAAGGGGGAAGGGGAAAGGTAGGTTTAAGCAAAGGACTTGCTTCAACTCAAAAGAATTAGGGAGAAGGAAGGAACAAAGGATTGTCAAATTGGAAGTAGGAAGGAAGGAAAACATAACCCTAGGGAAAGAATAATTTGAAGTGACAGAATGAATGGTAAAAAGGTTTCCTTCTTTCTTTCCTCTTTCACATTAACCCATTGGACTTTTTCCGTCTCTTTTACTTTCCATTTCTTCTCATTCCTCCTCCATTATGCCATTATCACTGTGGCTTAAAAAAATTTGGCAGATCATTCTTCATTTACTTTCATTCTTTATAAATAAAAAATAAAATAAAAGGAGCCAATGAACTTGTTACAAAGAAAAACTTGAAATGCATGCAGCCCAATAAGATAGTATCATAAGTTTAGCAGAACCATTTTCAACATCCAATTACCTCAAATAATTTCTTCAACAGGACTATTTCAGTAAATCATGTGAGATACAATGAAATAAATAAGATTTTTTATATCTCAGTCACTTCATTCTAAGTAAGAACTCATCAAGAATAAATTTCCATTACACATGAAGCAAATGAATCTTAAATCTATAAATGAATATGCCATGGAGAAGGGAAATTAGAAAAAGTAAAAGGGTACCTTGCGGATTAAGAACAGAAAATCCTCAGTTAGAAGCTTTCCCCTTTTTGATGAAAAATCTTGAGCTTTATGCACCTACAGAAAAGTCACAATATGGTTATATATTCCATCTCACTTTAGATAAGAATCATAAGACATCATACGGGCCGCCTAAGAATAAAAAACCATCACAAAATCGCAGTGAACCTAAAAGTTGGTTAACTTTTCTACTCCCACACAATTATGTATTCTCATCTTCCCACTATCACCCAAAGCTAGTCTGCATGTTAAATGGGAGCAAGTATTTGAAATCATTGACAGCAAAATGTAAGTACTTGACAAAGGAGACACAAGAATAAGAATTTTGGCTCACCAAATCTGTGACATACTCCACAACAATGTCCTCCAAAAGCGCCACAGTTTCTGGAAGCGGCTGGCATTGTAATACAAGAAATTCATGTAGAAAGTTACGATTACTGTGGTGAGCTTTAATATAAAGCTAGTGCATAACTAAAAATACATGAATGTTTCAATCCAGCCTATATATCTGATGAAAAAACAACTTTTAACAATATAAATAAATAAAGTTCAGAGAAAGAAAATTTTGATTCAACCCTTGACTGCTATTATGACATACTATACATATATGAATACATGGTTATATCACGATTCCATAGTACATTCCCTTCTTTAAAAAGCCGTGTAAAAGATAGGAGGTTCTCTAACTTGTTTCCCATTAACTCGTCGTTTGGGGTGTTTTTCAACTTACCAGTGTTATTTAAGTTGTTCGTCATCATCCCACATATTGGAAGAGTTGGTCCCTACAATTCAGGCCACTACAGTACTTGTTAACATACTAAAAGCTTGGATTGCCATCCTTCCAAGAATGAGAATACAAGTTTGAGTTTAAGAGCAGCCACATTATGCATAAAATGCCAAAAGTTAGGTACTTGGGTCCATATCTAGTCCACCCTCTTATATACCATACACTTGTGGGACTAACACTAGGCAAGAAAAATACTTTCTAGCAAGCTAACCCTATAAACAAAATTTTAAAATTGTGACATGGAAACTTCCTTAAGTAAAATAGCAGATTACATAAGACCAGTAACATTCAATTGGAGCAAGCAAAAACACAACAAGATGTTAAGATCACAAGAAAAAATAACATAATACAAGTTCAACCCCAAAAATACAGCTTCTGCATTTCAGCTCTATAGACCACATATCTGCGCTCTTTTTGCCATGTCAAAATATCAACTCACGGCTACAGAAATAGAATGAAATACATAATTGTAGGAGAAATCTTTTCAATTTATCGAAGTTTGAGGGTTTAAGTTTCTGTGTTGAGATAGACTATGTTAATGTGTTATTTGTTAAGGAAAAGGAAAAATACCACTCCATGCTTCCGATGATGCCTTTGCTAAAGCTTACTACATGTGCCAGGCGGTGTTGTGGGCTAAATGATTTCAATTTAGAAACCTTTGGTTTGAATCTGATTCCCTTATGGCTTGCAATGTTGTTCAATCCTTTCCTAACTAGGGATGACAAATTCCCCATTCCCCCTGGGTCCCCGCCCCACCCCGTTTATAGCGGGGATGGGAACTCTTTTTATGTAAACGGGGATGGGGATGGAGATAAATTTTGAAAACCCGACGGGGGCGGAGGTGGGGACGGGGACGGGGAATGGGTAAACCCGCCCAGCTCCGCCCCAATTAAGTGTGAAATTACTAATATACCCTTACATATAATAATTTATTACTAAATTAGATTTAATATATATATGAAAATAAGAAAAATTATATATATATTTTAAAAATATATATGTTAATCGGGGCCGGGGCTGGGGATAAGGAGGCGAGGCTAGGGGCGGGTATGGGGGTGGTGGTGAAATTTTAAGCGTGGATGGGGACGAGGATGGGGATTAAAAAATTCAGTGGGGATGGGGATGGGGAATGAGATCCCTGCCCCGCCCCGCCCCACCCCATTGCCATCCCTATTCCTAACTGTCCTCCAGCCCTCCTTCCGCTTTCGTATGATATAAAGTCCATGCTTCTAGATTCTGTCTTAGCCATGTTCATGAGCATGTCAACGAGGTGGCCAATGCGATGGCTAGACTATCCAGAAGCAACACTTCTCAAGATTTCGCTCTTCATGTCATTCCAGTGGACATGTCTGCTTGCTTTAAGGGTTATTTCTTAGGGGATTGTAGTCTTATGTGGTTTATTTAACTTATTTTGTTTGTTTGGAAAAAAATGAAGAATATAATCACTACAAGAAAAGAGGCATTTAGGTACGGAATATTTTACTACAGAACCAAATTCATAGTAAATAATAGTGTATTTACTATGGAAATAATTTCGTAGTAAATACCTCAGTATTTACTACAAAATTTTCATTTCATAGTAAATTCTTTCTTATTAACTACGAATTTTTGATGTTGAAATTAGCAATGATAGATATCATTATCACAAAATTATTTTGGTCCCTTCCACTCTTACGAGGCACAAGTCTATGACTTGTCATGGGCCAATAGAACTTTACAAACTCCGAGTATAAATAGCTCTGGTTTACATAAAGGTGAGACATCAACCAAAATAATTATACAATAATTGACAATTCTAGCAAATGTCTCTATCCTGGAAACAGAAAATAACACTTACGACTTAAGTACAACAGAGTTTTGATAAATATTATCAATAGCTCCAAACTTCAATCAATTATGAACAAAAAAATGTAATCCAAAATTATTTTGGTTGTTAAAACAATAAAAAATATATATATATGAAAATATAAAAACTTGAAAAATTATAGTATAAATAGTGATACATACATTGGGATCATCTCCAAAACCGTACATCATGTGTTGCACTGTCAAAAAAATATATATATAAATAACAGGATAAAGAAAAGGAATAAATTAATTCCTTTAAGCAAAACTCATAACTAAAGAGAGGTAGTTACTAACAATCTTTCTGAAAAACTCCTCGCTTGCGCTTTAATGAAGCTTCCGATGGTTGGGATGATCCGACTCTCACTCTTGAGGAGGGCCCTGCTGAAGAGGTATTCATCTTCTATACCCAACTATCCCCTCCAATCTATTGCAAAAAATAACGTGACGCATATTTAACTATCCAAAAAAATAAACTAAAACATATATTTATTTCAAACAAAATGAGTGAAGTTTATGGGTTCCTTGATCAGTGCACACGACTAAATCATACACCACATGACACAACCCAATGCCCCCAGTGTTTTAAATCCCACAATGGACACAAAGCAATACATAAATTGACAATGACGTGATAATTATGTCATAAATAATGTTCAATAATATCAATTAACTTATACTATTGAAATATGAAAAACACCACAAAAGAAAATATGGATGTTCTGCGTTGACAAGATCAAAATATGCATCAAATAATTCACATGAATATGATCTAAAAACTAAATATACTGAACCATAAAACAACATCACAGTAGTTTATCATGTAAATTGAACTTTCTTGCGGAATATGAATATATAGAGAGAGGGGAAAAAAAAAAAAGTAATTAACAAAGACGTTGAATAATTAACCTGATTAAACAAGTGTGTATATGAATTCATACACTTCTGACCTATTAAAAAGATTTCAGAAATGAACGAAAGAAAAACTAGATTAAAACAAAATATATCCTTGTAAGAAGTGGTTTGTAGTCAGTCGTGATCTCAACGAGAAAGATAACAGATGTTCAATAGATGGAACAAAAACGAATCAAAGAGGCAGAGAGAAGAATCTTCTGACCAATACCGTACCAAACGGTAGCCGCCGTTGAACGGTGTCAGCCTTGGCTTGGTCGTCCGCCCTTCGTCGGTTCGCCGGCGTGACGGGTCGGAGCGTTTAGAAAGGCAAAGAGGCGGTGCGAAACTGGTTGGTTCTTAGGAAAATAAATAGGATCACGTGAGCGGTCATATGAATATCCGGTTCAAAAACCGGCCCGGACAATTTTTGTTAAACGAACGGGGTTTGTAGTTGTTGTGGGTGGAATTACATAAAACACCCACTGACCCACATGTTAGGGTTTTATTTGAAGTTCCAAGGAAAATAATTCTTAAGCCCAACATTTTGATTGAAATGCCTACTATATGTAGCGCAAAGCCACAAACTCGGCCCAAAAAGATTCCGTAACAATAATGGAGTTAATTCAGGTTATTTATATGACCCATTTTCATAATAAAAATTTAATGTAATATTGAATTAATTTTTAATTAAATTATTTTTAATTCAAAAAAAAAAAATCTTAAAACCTATTGCAAATTTTTAATAAATTACAAACAAATTGTTACAAAATTAGTTTTCCTAAATGCTAACAAATGATAAATTAAAATTTAACAAAGAAAGATGAAAAGAAAAGAACGCGATCATAATTTGAATATCTTATATAATGTATTTAAAATAAAATAAATATACATATGAAAATAATATTATAATTGGTATACTTGGCACCTCAATCTAAGTTCAACTCTAATTAAGTTTGAGTTAAAAATAATTGCTAAGTTTGTAAAAAAAAAAATTAAGCTGAGCTCATATTAAATCTGAATTGTTCAACCCAAATTGCAACCCTATGTTTGAATTTTATATCATATGTCATAGACTTTTTCGAAATTTGTGGCGGACGTGGGAGTGTATGTATGATGTATTACGATCTTGATTTTTAGTTTATCAAAAAATATACACAATGGAGTATTCGATTTTCCGTTACATGATAAGATAAAGGGAAAAGGTCTCTGGTTCTCTCTTCAAAGTTCAAACTACTTGAAACGTTGAATTATTCCTTTGTTTTACCCATGTATTTTTTTCTATTGACGGATGTACTCGATTTGTTAATGTCCAGATTTAGACATAGGAAAAAATAACGAGAGAAAAATCCAAATTTTAAGAATTTTTGCTAAAGGATGTTATTTTGTCTCGGTTAGCTGCGAAAATTGGAGAGAGTGAAATGAGGGGAAAGGGGAGGGGGCGGTGGATCTTCAAATGGATTCCTTTGAGACCCAATTAAAATCGGTTTCATCCTTTTTAGTCTTTTCTAAATAATATTTTTAATTTGAATATTTGCTTAGGCTATATCACTTATAAGATGGAATTTTCTTTTTATATGGCCTGAGGCCACTGTTCATTACATAAAAGACTCGGATTTTCATTCCATTAAATAAAAGAATCAGATTTTCATTTCATATGATTCACTTATATTAATTAGACAAATGTGAGAACACTTTTATATATATATATATATATATTTTGTTCCATTTAACCAGTAATAGAAATACACATATTAGAATTTTTTAACTTATGAGTGCTATTAAGTCCTAAGAAATATAAAACATTAACTCAAAAAGAGATAATACAGAGATAACACACTATTAAGAAATATATATATATATATATATATATATATATATATATATATATTTTAAAATATGAGAAAATTCTTAATAGCGGGTTAAATATAATTAATGTACACATAACACTTTTTTATTATGAAATATTAACACACACTCTTGGAACATTTTTTAAAGAGTAAAAAGATAGAACGGATATTATAACTTTACTTCATATCTTGTATATCTGTAAAAAGTAATTTAATAAGTGTTTCTGCTCAATTTTTAAAGAATAAGAAAGTTCGTAACAGTATGGCACACTTTTTAAAATTTAAACCAGCAAGTGAAAGTGTTAAATCTAGGTATTTGACGTGATTTACCCTTATTTTATCTGATTGGATCGACAAACTTTATTTATTTATTTATTTCCTATCTGTAAAGGTGAAAAGGAGTGCGGCTAATAGTTTTATGAAATTAATTCCCATAAAATTGAAGAAGGTTGAACCATTTTCTCTTCCTATATTTTATCATCCAAATTTGTAGCTCCTTAATTTGTTGGGATCAACCCAATTGACCAATTGAGAAGAGAACAAGATAAAGTTATAAAAATGGGGGTTTAGTTTGAATGTGGTGGGTTTGTCGCATTTATTGATATAAGTGAAAGAAAATGATGGAAGGATATTTTGAATAATTATTCTGTCATTTATACGTGACATTACTTAATTTTTTGTGAGAAAAAATATCAAATAAAAACCTAACTGATTTATTGAATTTTTACATAATAATAAAGTATAACCCGAAATACCAGTTTAAAGTTTCATTAAGCAGATATAATTGGTTCGAATGTGGTGGGTTTGTCACGTTTATTGATATAAGTGAAAGGAAATGATGAAAGGATATTTTGAATAATTGTTCTGTCATTTAAATGCGTCATTACTTAATTTTTTGTGAGAAAAAATATCAAATAAAAACTTACTAATTTAGTGAATTTTTACATAACAACAAAGTATAACCCGAAATACCAGTTTAAAATTTCATCAAGCAGATATATCATTGATTCCACTCTCTTTTTAATGGTGAACTCTCACACAAATTTCTCAAATTAAACACAAGCTGAATATCATATGTAGAGTGTAGAGAGTGTGAAAGATATAGTGTGCTATCCAACAGTAGAGAGTTTGAGAATACTTGTTGAGAAAGGGGGAAAAAAAGGGCAAAGAAAAAGGAAAGGAATACATAGCCATAGCAGTATAAAAAATAAAAAAATAAATCTCTTAGTGTTGTTTTCAGTATAAAAATTAACAGTAGTTTGTTACTCAGAAAGTAATTTTCAATAATTTAAAAAATATATAACTAATTTTTATATAACAAATCAAGCGAACACTAATCAATTCAGATAAAATAAACACAAGAAGTGCAACTTGTGCTAAGGAATAGGCAACACCAATTACACTCTCAGACACCCACTGTAAGCGGAGGCATAGCCCCTTGGCTTTAATTTTTTTTTTGGGGGAATTTAAAGCAACTGTATAAATGGAATTAAAAGATATACGGTGGGCCTTAGGCCAAAACAAGCCCAAAGAGGCAGCAATACAAGCCCAAAGGGTAGCCCAATCTAGGAAGACAGAACCCAACACTTAATTGTCGTTAACACTTGGCTTTAATTGTCGGTACATAAAATAAATTTGTTAATCTCTAATTCTTAAACGATTAATAATGTGCGATTAACCTAAGAATCCATTCAAGAGCTTATCATCAGAATTCATAAAATAGTAAATATTAAAGAAAAAATTGCTTTTTTTTTTTTTTTTTATAATGTCGGTTAGATTAAAAAGTTAATAGATGCAAATAATTGAAATCGGAACTAAAATCTCACATTCGTCAAACCGGATCGTTTAATTGACCTAAATTTTAAATTCTACTTATAATAATACCAAATAGACCAATCGCTTAAATTCGAAAATTTTAGTCATATTACAATTCGAGTTGTACAGCACAACTAAATAATGGTGCATTGAAAGTCTTTTGGCCATAGCATTGAAGCACCTCCATGGCAAACATTTAAGTGTGATATGTCTAACGCTCTAAAGTCATGGCCTAACCAACACCCACCAACCTTGGACGCTCTTAATCAATTAACCGAAATTCTAATAAATAAATAAATAAATAAGTACAGATACTTAGACCTAAGGGTTTTTATCCTTGTTATTATTACTCTTTTCAAAAAAAAAAAAAAAAGGTTGAAGATCGATTCCTCCACTCATATAGATTGTATTGTTTATTAGAAAATACTGAAATATCAATGCTCACACGTACTGATATAATCTCTAAAAATAAATATATTTATATTAATGTGACAATATATAATTGATTGATAATACCAGGTATCACTTATGCACCAAAGTATTTTTCAATTAATTACTTAAAGTCTCAAATAATAAGAGAAGTTGTAAGAAATAACAAAATATCATTACAATTAATTATAGGATTTGATAATGACATTCATTTTTTGTTTTTTTCCCCTTAATTTAATGATAAAAATACCACTTTTTATCTCTTTACTAATAACAAGTGTGAAATTTTAAAATTTCATAAATCGTAAGTGATTTTAAGTGATTAAGAAAAATTGGATTTTTTGAATGCATCATTCCGCGAGAAAGAGAAAGAATTGGTTGCCTTGTGTTTTTCTATGACTTTGGTCTTTTTTATAATTGTCAAAATCTTGTAAATACCTACCATGTCAAAGAGTGGTTAAACATTGGTGAAGGACGAGAAAATGTATGGCTTAGGGCATTCAGGTTGCACAGGTAAGAAGAAAATACGAGAGAAAAGTAGAGAGAAGGGTTGTTGGCACTTTGAATAGCTACTTTAACAAGTCCTACACCTTATTATCAATTAGTAAAGTTTTTAAAAGTTGTTTCTTCTTACTCTTTGGTGAGTCCCTCACTATTTTTAATTTCTAACTGTTTGCAATCTCACTTTATATATTTTTTTTTATTATTTTCATCAAATGACTCCTTCTCACACACTCAAAATGTTTTTTTTTGTCCAACCAAAAACTCTCTCTCCTTCTAACACAATTTTGATTTTCATTCAACACCTCTTCTTGAAATCTTGGAATAGTTATTGCGCTACCTATTCTCTATCATGTTTAATATATTTTGTCTTACTCTCTGTCATGTTTAATATATTTTATCTTTCTGGGTTTAAAAAATATTCGCACTATATTGGGCAATAACAACCCTCCCACAACGTGCATCCGTTTTTCATAGATTTAAAAAAATATCTCCCCCACTGAATCAGACGAATTTAGTGTAGAAATAGACTTCTTGAACATGCACTAAAATAGAACGTGATGTGATAGAAAGGTGTTTTTTTTTTTTTTTTCTATAATAAAGATGAAGAGTCAAATAAGAAAAAATGAATTTGAGGATGTAAATAAGCGAACTTGAGAAATTTTTTTTTATTTTTTGTAGCATGTGGATTTGAGAATTGGAAGAAGATGGAATGAGTGATCTCTATAGAAATTAAAATATAACGGTTGGGAGTATAGTTGTTGAGGAAAGAAAAATAAATAATTAAAAATATTTTTAATTATTTAATAAAGAATTTAAAAATAATAAATTAATAGCAAGATAGTGGGTGTAAACCGGGCATGGCTAGTGAAATAAAGGAAATAGCCCCAAATTCTTAATGGTACATACTTTTCTGGAACTTTGAAAGGAAAATGTTCTGGGATTAGCATATTGGAGGTCCTTGCCAAAACCAAAAATAAAAACAAACAAAAATTTGAAGCCTTACATTTTTCCGGTTTAGGTGCTAAAAATTCAAATGTAGTATTTATTTAGTAATAATAAACAAATGAATTTTGTAGCATTCCTCTTCTGGTGAGGCTTGGCTTACGCGAGTACATATGAATAAAGATAAAAATGCTATATTCTCTAGGTAGACAAACTAAAAACTATCAACACCAATCATACCCTAACCGCCCATTAACCATCACGTAATCTCTTTCTTCCAAAACTGGTTTAAGTCTATTACTTCCTACAATACAAAATTGAGAGTCAATTTCAACAACAATAATTCAGCAGAATATAAAATTTTAAAACTAAAATACAAACTCATTAATAGAAATTATCTGTTTTAACATGATTGGTTGCCACACTATTATTAATCTCAAAATAAATGTTAATTTTAGTTTTTTTTTTTTATTATTATATTGTTACTAAATGAATTATCAAATTTAGAGCCGGTGAAAGTGATGGTTTAATGTAAGAAAGTTAAATTAGGTTTGTTTTTTTTAAGTTAAATATAAGAAGTTAAAAGAGTGAAACTAGCTTGCATTTGTTTTCTTTTTAATTTTCATCTCAAAAGAAATATTTAAAAAAAAAAAAAAATCTTAACAGTTTAATTTATGGAAGTCAAAATAATACTTTTTATAAAACGGATGGCATAATTTACTAATATTATATTAGATGTCGCAATAGTAGTGGCGGCCGGTACCACATATGAGGTGTCAGCTATCCCGAACTTAAATCTACCGAAAGATATGATAAAAGCTTTACGGACACGTCAACATGGCTTTAGTACTTCATCTCATGACGTGGCAATCCCAGAAACATCCAAAGACCAATTGTCCATTATGGGTCCCGAACCTTACACGCGCTTTCGTATCCATAAAAAGCTGCAAATTCTTGATATTGGTGTACCATACACGTGGGAGACACGTAGTGGTATTCCATTTTTACATACGATGTCGTATTGAATAAAAATCGAAACGCCTTGTTATGCCTACGACGCCGTATTAGGAATCGTGTTCGTTCTTTCCCATGAAATAGGAATAACAAAAGCTTAATTGAAATGGTTGAGACTTTGCTTTGCCAGAGAAAGAGGGAGGGAGAGGCGTGAGGTTGGTGACCTGTTTGGTTTAAAACGCAGACGAAACCTTTTTCATCTTCTTCTTCTTCTTCATATTTATCTCTCTTTAAAATTGATCAAACCAAAACCCTAAAATTCAAATATTGTGATGCATGTTAAAGCTATACGTCCCATATTTGCTCCCAAGCCCTAGCTAGCTCTGAGTTTCCACATAAACAATATAAACGCGATCTAACTCACACGTATAGCAATCACACACAGCCCAGAGGAAAAATATTAACATAGAATTCAAGAATGGATAGTCTCTGTTTGAAAGCAGGGATTCACGGGATGACGTCACCAATTGCCGTCGGCGGCGGAAGTCTTGAGCTCCGTACGAACCCGTCTCATATTACCGCCTCCGTTGGCCGGACGGCGTCCTCAAACGGGATTTCGGTGGAGAAGCCAACTGTCTCATCTGCGGCGCCGCCTTCTCAGAGGACGTCGTCCCAGGGATTCTTTTTCAAGTACCCTCTCAGATCTCTGTGGCCCGGAGGTAGCAAAAGGTACGACGCCATTGCCTTAGACGACGCCGTTTTGGTTGAGGAAAGAGAGCAGGAGAAGAAGATGGGAGTTGTTGATCCTGAAGAGGATGAGAATGGGGATGAGCAAAACGGTAATTGGGTGTTGAAGATCCTTCATGTGAAGTCTCTCTGGAGAGAGAAGGGGAAGGGAGGGATTGAAGAATTGGAGGAAGAAGAAGAGGAAAAAAAAGGCAGGGTGAATGATCAGAGCTGTGAATGTTCTGGTGGCGGCGATGATGATGAAGAATGTGATTTGTGTAGAGTTGATGATGAGAAGATCGAATTCGATAGAGATTCGTTTTCGAAGCTGCTTCGGAGGGTGTCATTGGCGGAAGCAAGGGTTTATGCTCAAATGTCGTATTTGGGGAACCTGGCTTATTGCATACCCCAAATCAAGGTACGCCTTTACACCTCCCTTTTGTAGACAAATTGTTTGTTATATGGTTTACTTTCATTAATGCTGAAATTGAACAAATCCAGATTCCAAGATTTCTGTTAAAATGAACCCAATGGGAGAGTTTGTTGGTTTGGGTGGTTGTTTTTGTAACACCAGATTTAGCCATCCATTATGTGTTTTTTATTTTTTTATTTCATTGCATCTGGAGTATTCTCCAGATGGGTTTTTCAATCTTTATGTAGGTGCTTTCAATCGATTATATAGATTGGTTTTTATTCAATGCCTGAGTTGTGTTTAATATAATGTTTGGGATCTCCTACAGTCTGTTTTCATAAGAAGAAATCAGGGAAATTTCTGTCCTGAAACCTCAGCACCAAAGTATGCCCAATTACAAAATTTTCTGTTTACTCTAGGAGCTTTTCCACAGAGAAATCTGGGCAAACCACGGATATCATTTTCAATGTTTAGTTACAATGTTTTAGTGTATCCCTGTTACAACTGAATTTTCATCAATATTTGGGATGCTTGTAAGAAAGTTTTGATGGGCATAGTTTTAATTTGATTAACATCTTACAATATCGACTAATTTATTGTGCGATCTCTGCAACAACTTTTTGTTGTATAACAGTTATATGCTGTATTCACAAAGTTCATGGCTTTTTGTGCCCGAGAGTCACTTGCAAACACTTTGTTTTCTTGAATAACATGTCTTTCCAAACTTCCATGTTGGTTTTTCACTTTGTTGCCATGTGTATTCCAAAAGTATTATGTTGGGTTGTACAAGGATAAGTTTAGGTTGATGTTCTCTATCCAATGCTCTAATTGCATTGGTTATAAGGAGAGTTCCTGTAAATTTTATTTATGGTATTGTGTTCATGTTCGGGAATGTTCTAAGTGAATTTTATCCGTTCACCAGCATTTGATGTTCTGGGGATGAAGAGTATTTTCATTGTTTTTGCTTACAGCCAGGAAATCTCCTGAAATATCACGGACTACGTTTTGTGACTTCATCATTGGAGAAGAAAGAATTGGCCAAGGAAGCAGAGAAAGAGAAGCCTACAGCTGAAGTTCAAGAAGCAGAAGAAACCTCAAAGGAGCATAAGAAAGTCGAAGAACAGAAGATTAATGGGAATCAAATAAGTGCATCTGCTGCTTATCGAATTGTTGCATCTGCTGCTTCTTATCTGCATTCTCATACAATGAGCATTATTCCTTTTAAATCCTCAAAAGCTGATGCAAGTGAAGATTCATCTGAAGGAAGCAGTGGAATCAATCACAATATCAATATAATGAATGACGAGGTGGCCTCTTTCATGGCAACCACCGACTCTGTGACAACTGTGGTGGCTGCAAAGGAGGAAGTGAAGCAGGCTATTGCAGATGATTTGAACTCGACACAATCATCGCCATGTGAGTGGTTCGTATGTGATGACGATCAGAGTGGAACAAGATTCTTTGTCATTCAGGTAGGCACGACATGTTCTTATTTTTTTTGAAGAGTTCAGTTAACATGGTGTTGCTTATGCTCTTTTCAGAATTTTGCATCCAATGGATCAGTAGATTAGTTTGAAGGATAAACAAATTAGTGCATATTTATTATTGTACATTTTAATTTTCTAAAATGTTTAGATCCCTAGAGAAAGTGACTGAAGTTTTAATGCCCAGGATATGAACTTTGCCATGAGTTGCCTCGTTAGATTTTGCATATTTTTGGTATCTCTTGTATGTGTTGCTTACACTTCTTAACATGTAGGGGTCAGAAACACTAGCTTCATGGCAAGCCAATCTACTCTTTGAGCCCTTTCAGTTCGAGGTATTCTTTTGATACAGTTTTCAATTTCTCTTTAGCTGTCTTTTGGGATTCTTCAACTCTGAGTGCTCAATCTGGTGGTTATGCAAGTTTGGAAAATGAGCATTGTATATTTATTTTCATATCAGATGTTTTTTAGTTGAAATTGATGAATGCGTTCCATATGAGACTTCCTTTTTAAAGTTGGCTTAATAGAGGAATGTGATGCATCCTTTTGGTATAGGGACTGGATGTGTTTGTGCATAGAGGTATATATGAAGCTGCAAAAGGGATCTATGAACAGATGTTGCCCGAAATCCATGCCCACCTAAAATCTCGTGGTGATAGTGCCACTTTCCGTTTCACTGGGCACTCTCTAGGGGGAAGCTTGTCAGTGCTCATAAATTTAATGTTGTTGATAAGAGGAGAAGTCCCACTTTCTTCCTTACTTCCTGTTATAATGTTTGGGTCACCATCAATTATGTGCGGAGGGGACCGATTGCTTAGGGAGCTTGGATTGCCTCGTAGTCATGTTCAGGCAATCACCATGCACCGAGACATTGTCCCCCGGGCCTTTTCCTGCAATTATCCTAATCATGTAGCAGAGCTCCTTAAGGCTGTGAACAGAAATTTTCGAAACCATCCATGTCTTGAGAAACAGGCAAGTATTTCTTAAAGGACATACAAACTCCATATAGATTGTCACTTGCATTTTTGGTATTCAAGAATTAATTTTTTTGCATGTGTTTTTTTTGCTACAGAAGTTGCTGTATGCTCCAATGGGGGAGTTTCTGATTCTACAGCCAGAAGATAATTTTTCACCAAACCATAATCTCCTTCCTTCAGGCAGTGGCCTATATGTATTAAGCTGTCCAGTGGCGGATGCCATCGAGGCAGAGAAGCGGATCCGGGCTGCTCAGTCAGTGTTTTTAAACTCGCCGCATCCGCTTGAAATTTTAAGCGAGCGGTCTGCATATGGCTCGGATGGAACCATTCAAAGAGATCACGACATGAATTCTTACCGAAAATCCATTCGGAGCGTAATCCGGCAAGAGCTCAGCCGTATGAGGAAGGCTAAGAGAGAGCACCGGCGCAAAGTTTGGTGGCCCCTTGTGGCACCAAGTGGCATCAATGCGGGTATCTTTGTGGGAAGACACATGGCATCAGTTAAGTTGGGCCAAAACCAGTTAAACTTTTCTGGCGCCTTACAAACTGGTAGGGAGTCTTTGAAACGGTTTGGTAGGATTATTGCATCACAGCACATGCATTTGCTTCTTGTGCTGTTGTTCCCTGCACGATTGATATTGGTAGGGGCATACAGTGTGATCGGTTTCCGTTGACTACAACTAGTCAATCTGGATGGCCATTTCACAGTTGGTGGACATGGCTTGCAGAATACTACTGGTTAGATTATTCTTTATCCGTTGGTTACAGAAGGAATTAATCTACATTTGTTGTTATCTGTAGATGGGAAAATCTTAAAAGTGATTGTGGAGAGAAAAGGTAGGAAAAAAAAAAAAAAAAAAAAACCATTTGAATATCATTGAATACAAAAATTAATTGAATTCCAAATGATTAGGTTGTAGTGGAACCATGTTTTTTTCTCTCAATATTTACATGCATATATATATATATATTGATAGTCGATGTTTGGACATGGAGGAAATTATGGTTTGCTGTGCGCTAGTTTTACATAGATGTAGTGTGTTGAATGATTTCCTTTGATATTAATTAATCGGAATATTTATGAGGATGTGATTTTGTTGGTGTGGGAAATATGTTTGATATGAAACGGGGGTTGAAAGTGAGATGATAGATGTTGTTGCGGAGGTGTGCAATAAACACAATGTTGAGTTGGTTGGACAATTAACAAGCACGGCAAATCTCAATTTCACAAGTCTGTTGCATCCCATTTTTTATTGGAGATGATGATGCAGCGGGTGCTATGTTGTCATCCATTTATTGGGTTGATTCATCAGTTTTTTCAAATTGCAACTCCCAACAACATCTCATTTATTGTTTTATGTTGGTTAGTATAAATGTGATTGGATGCGTAACTTTTTAGTACACAAACTTGTGGAAGGAGAGTATTTTCAGGATAATTATTGTTAAAAACTAAACTGAGAGAAGAAAAAAGAGGAAACGAAGAAAAAAAAGGCCAAAATGAACAAACAGGAAGTCTATAAGATACATTTGAAATCATGCTATATAGCCCATATATTATCATAAGATTAAAAGAAACACTGAAACACACATGCGAATTCACATTACATGTCAAAGTATATAGGGGTCCGGTCCCAACTCTCTAGTCCAAATTGGCTGAAATGATAGACAAAATAGGGGTCCGGTCCCAACTCTCTGGTCCAAATTGGGTGAAAGCATATAAATATCTATCCATCCAACAAGGCAAAACAGACCCCACCCTGCTTTGGGACAGTGGTGGTGCTTATGGGTTTGGTTGGCTTCATACTTTCTCTTTAATCGTTTTTTTTGTCTCCTGAACAGCCATCTACCATTTCCATGTCTCTTTATTTAAACAAATCACCCTCAACTATATTCATTACTTCCTCACAACAATACCAAGTTGTAGATTTTTCTTTCATTATCCAAGCCTTTCTCTTTTTCCTTCAATGACTTTCCCAACTCTACATTTTTCTTTCATCATTTCTATCCTTATTGGGTTTACAAAAATAGAAAAAGTTGGATATAGACCGACCATACATGCCAAAGCTTTGAAATGTGACCCAACACGTACAATGAATCAAAGTATTTCACGTGATCAATGGAAAAATGCATGTGCTTCAGGAGATCAAAATAAATGAGACGCTCAACCGACATATACCGGCCCCACAAGCGTAGCTCTAAAAAGTAGACAACAAACATGTGAGAGGGTTTCTTCTTATTTTATGTTCAATGAGAGATTGAGATTCAATATCATGTGCAATAAAAATTTAAAAAATACTAATTTAATTCTTAAAAAGTCTATTTATAGAGAATAAAAGTGAAAAGCACTTTAAATACTGTCGTCATCTATAAAAGCACTCTACGGACATCCCTACAAGAAAGTTCAGCACCACCAAACAGTCACCAAGGTGTGGTTAAGCTCAATTATTAAAATGCATATTATTTTGAGAGAACAATAGTCCTCTAAAAATAACTTTTTTATTTTTTAACTTTTTGATAACTATTTTCAAAACTACAAATCAAACATTTCTAAATTTTTTTTTTCTCTTTTTTTTAATGTTGTTTCTAAATTCCTCCAACGCAGAGTAATTATTATTATCCTAAATCTGCCTATTAAATTTTTTTTTTTTTTTTTAAAGAAACTTTATTGGGAAAGAGTGCTGAGACATCCGAGGTTTTTTGTCTTCAGCTTGTGGATATTAAATCCCCGATCAGAAAATCTAGTCCCCACAATTAGAGATTTTTAAATAAACAAACACAAATACAGATATTTTCCAAACATTGCTTACTTGAAAGGTGGGCTATATTTCCTCCGTTCAACCCTATACTACTTTTTGTCTACATCTCTTCCCCACACACAGACGCCAACTAGGCTACGGCTCTAGGATGGAGACCGCACCCAACACTAGGATGCGAGTAGACCAATCCCCGGTCGAAAGCTCCAACTTCAAACACAATAATACATCTCAGAATCTCTCACTTGAGAGTGTCTCTCATCATGTTTAGACCAACTTCTCTTTCCTTAATAAGATCATTGGTTCACAAACAATTGCCTGTTATAACCATGTAGTCATGGATAAGAGCCACACAGAGGAAGGATTTAGCCCAATTTCATCCACAAAGACAACTTTTTGGGTAAAACTAGTGTCAAAACTGTACTAAAACAACTAACTAATAAACATTGAGATCCACATACTGTGTCAGATGTTAACACTGAATAATCTCATTCTGTTTGCACACATAAACCCATCAAAATGGAGTAAACTACACAACCTCACCCAGCAGCAATTGAAACCACCCCCCCAAATGATCTCTGCTCCAACATTCTTCTACTTTATAATATCTACCACAAATCCTTTCAATCCCATAATTGATCTCTCTTTTTCCAGCTTGATGCATCGCCAATCTGTGACACCGAAAAACTGCTCAAGAGTGCCAATAAACCCCAGTGTAGCTAGCAACCACTGAATTTAACTTTTCAGTTAAAAACTTGTAATCAAACTAAAAGTGGTAGATCAGAATGAAAAATGCTAAACTCAGGCAGCCCAGAGTTCTTAAAAACTATCACTCTTTTTCATTCTCGAGTTTCCTCACACAACTCTCATGACTTTCAATAGAAGTCATCAATTATTGCATAATAGGAATGACAAGATTGTAATCGAACTTTACTAGATAAATAATATAGACCATTCACTCCCGTTAGGCATTAGACAATTCGTTGACAAATCCTAGCATCAAATATCTCATGCAATAAACATTAGCCCAACTTGTGCTTGTATAACCTCTCCTCCCTCAAAAGGGTTTGAGTCCCGTGGTGGGCATTTTTGGGGTGTGTGTGAATATTTACATAACCAATAATAATAATATCTCAAGAAATCCCATCATTAGTCTTTTAAGTCCCTAGCAGTAGTCCTTAGAAAAGTGAAATAAAGAGCCTCCAGAATGCAATGCATATGCTTCCTGCTACTGCTAGTAGTATATTGCAATTCAAATGCAAACTAATGCCTAGAGAAAAGTAAATAAACAGTATACAGCAGCAAGTAACTCTCTGAACATTTAGAATACATAAATTGTATGCATTCAGAATAACGCATTTCTATTAAGTTAAAGATCTATTAGGGTAATTTGATAAATACAAGCAATGGAATATAGTATACTACAGTTCAACCCATCAACAAACCTTTTGATTCTTAACTTACAAAATTTGAGGCCGAATGGCAAAAAATAACCCCATAACTTGAAAAGATACCAAATGGGACGACCAGGGGATGGGATTTATACTAAATTGAGTTCCAATGCCGGTTTCATCTAACAACTTGCATATCAATCTAACACAAAATAAAAAGGATAATTAGAGAAGTCACCATGAAACTTTATTTGTTTGAACATGACTAGATGACACTACAGGACTTTGAAGATCTCACACACTGCAGAAATAAAGGCAACCAAATGAATTGCTTGAAAGCAATATGTATGTGTAAGGTATTGAATTTTTGCAAAGAGAAAATCAGTGATTAAGTAGTATAGGAGATATTAAAAGAATTCATCATATTCTGCATAGCACTTGGCGAGTCACATAAATTTTTGGGCACTCGGTTAATCGACTTTATAAAAGAGAGATGACAATTTAAGTATTAATTGCATTCCACAAATGACCCAAGTTCTAAGTCAATTGAATTCCCCTCCCTCCCCCCACAACTCCCCATCCTAGCCCCCCCCCAAAACACCCCACAACCACCCAAAAAAAAAAAAAGGTGGTCAGTTTAGTTGTCTAATTCCAAATCCTGTTTGGAACACGCTGAACAAATTCAATATTTAGGATGTCAAACTTATTGGATTTCAGCCATCCAATCTCCACAAACACTATGAAAATCCAAACAAAAATTAAAGATATTATATACAAAGATCCAAAAACAAGCATGAAGATGGGGCACGCCGGAGGCCAAACCAAGCATTCCTACATGTCAAACAAAAGGACCCAAATGCTAGCTCTACTAAAACATAATAGATATGTTGACTGATTAACTAGTCAATTAAAATTGCAGAACCTCCTAAACATTACCGTGTTTTGGACCAAAGAAAATAATAACACTAGGGGGTAACGGGTTGAAAAGAAGGCCCAGGAGATAACTGAAAGATGAACCAAAGAAAAAATACCCAGCAATAAACTAACAATGAAAAATATAATTCAAGGAAAAACTAGGGCTAAACTAGTAGAAGATTATGTTGGAAATTTGGAATGTCCAGTGGCACTTGGGTTTCCCATCAACACATGCAAATGAACAGGCAAACTGTGACATCTAGGATGTTTCTACCTCTTGTTGATTGGCATGTAGGACACATGACAGCATGTCATACCAGTTGAACATTATTTGGACACTAAACAAAAATCTTGTATTTTTTATGCTCGTAAACATATGTATGTTCGGTTTATAGGTTAAACTTGGAAATATTGCATTTTATCCCCTGGGATTGGGCCCTAAAAGAAGCAGACCCTCAACAGTTCAAAGTAACATTAACACCCCCTGCAGTGGTGCGCAAGGTGAAACGATACATTTCCCATTCAAATTGACAGCAGTGCCTTTAAATTTCAATCTTGCAGGAAAATATTTTAAAATTTTCAGTAATTTTAATGTTTAAATGATGTTTATGCCCTAATGAACTTTTCTTTTCTTCTTTCGTCCCCCCTCCCCTCTCTCTCTCTCTTCCTCAATCACCACCACCACACCACCATTAGCAAACCTCCCATTACCACCTTGAACCACCCACAACACCATCTCTTCCACCAACTGCTCCCATTTTCTCTCAGTACTTCTTCTCTACTAGAAATCACAGCAACTACCACTCACCAGTCACCACCTACGTTACATGGTATCTTCTAAATGCCAGAAGTACTCGTTTCGAACACAAAATACCTGGGTATAGGTGTGGGATGTTTATCCAACATGTATGGTTAGACACGCAACTATCAAACATATAGAATCCTTCCAAATTTATTACATAACTATATAAATATAACTCTTTTATGTTACTTTTGTTACATTACTACTTAAAAAGAGCAAGATTTCAAGATTAAACAATCTATATTAGACCCCAAAAAAACCAGTTTATCCTAAAGTAAAATAATACAATATATATATATATATATATTTATATTTATATGAATATTTAGTTGTGTCCATGTATCTTTGAGACTGGGTATTTCAGAAGTATGTTTATAAACACATTTGCAACTGACATATTTCAATTAATTAGATCCAGTAAAATTTCTATTCTTTTCCTCAGTTTTCTTATCAAACCAACAAAATATACATTATATATATTTATATATGTATACATACATACATACATATATATATATATATCTAGAGAGAGAGTGAGATTAACCCTTTCCGGAATTGGAGTTGCAATGCCGTCATCTTCTGCCGCTAGTCCCCTATCACCAGTCTGGCTACCCTAGCTTCTTATTTCTCTTCCTTACCCTTCAGCAATATAATCCTTTGACTCAAAACCTTCACGGCAGTACGTAATTGAGGGAACCGCTCATCCATAAATATGTACCTCTGTGAAATCACTATGAGAACTAACTTTCAAAAACTCAAGACACGAGTCGATCGGCAGGGACAAAATCTGTGTGCGTGATTATGAGATAGTAAGTAAAAGAGTGTGGTTATGGATATGGCAGACGTCTGAGATGGAGGAAAGGTTGAGGATGTTATAAGGTAAATCAAACGACAACGTTTGCTTTCTCTTTTTTCTTTTTCTCTTGTTTTTTGGGGATACTGTTAGGGTATTTTTGTCATTTTACACTTCTGTTAATGGCAGGATAGCGACAAGACCTTATTTTCCCTGTTGTTATACTAGAAGGGTGTTTTTCTAACTACAAGGATGTGATATGCACTATATTGAAAATCAAGGGGTGTTTTTTGCACTATAGTCATAATTTAACAGATTGAAAATGGTTTTTTTAAGCGAGAGAATCAGTTGGGGGCTAGCTTTACAGACAGTTGATGGGTTGTAAGACTAGAGAGAACAAAAATGGGAGTTCGATTTAGAGAATGAGAGAAGAGATAAAATATTAAGAAGAAGACAGTAGTTTAGTCATTATACATTAGAAGTTAACCTCATTACATTTTAGATTGTATAGACTACACCTCAAAACCCCATTACATTTTAGGGGTCGTTATTTGGTGCAAAGGTAAAAGCACTAGATGACAAACACTGAAAAATGAGTTCTAAGTCTAAGAGTAGCCACTTTGTACAAGAATATAAGCAACCAAATAGATGGGACCACCTCTAGATAATGATCTTTTAAACTACCACAAGTTATTACTATTGAACGTTGAATTAAGAAGAATTTCAATATATTAGGCCTAACCACAGGGGGGAATGCAATTTCCCCAATAAACTTAATAGCAAACCACCTTTATGGTGCTTCCACATGGAAAGACATGCACGGTCCAATCCAAGCCCAGAAAAGAAATTAAAAAAAAAAAATGCAGCCACAAGAACCCAAATACATCAATAGATGAATATATTCCATCAAGTAAATTAACAGAATTCTTTTACTGTCGTGCAAAACCATTTAAGTGTTTGGGCTGCACAGGGCATGACTTTTGTGATCAAGGCCAACAGATTCGAGGCCAAAATGCTAAGGGGAATTTACCAACAATAAAATCTTGCCAAGCTCTTAACATGATGGATGTTTAATGCAGCAATTGATGAGATATTAAGAACAAATCTTAGTGACAGATGTTTGCATGTAGCAAATCTAATGCAAAGCTTCAGAATCTGAGATTCGTTGAACAGAAATAGCCCTGCAAATTAATGGATGTTTGATACTCAAAGATACAAAGCCAAAATCACGATGCCAATTTGAACCCATTTCAAAAACCAAGATATATAAACCTAATCATCACCAGTGCATCAAACAAAATTTGCAAACAATGATGCATGAAATCTTACAATTTTATCCCAAATATATCCATTGTAGCATAAGTCTGTACTACAAAACATGCAAACATAGAATTCGAACAAGCAAAAAGTTTCATTATGATGCTATATATGGAGTTATTGCAATTTGGAAGAATACGGAGTCATCAACAAATTAATATTATGATGTAAATGAAGTTATTTATTGAAATCTACGATGAAAGTTATACAGAAGCCATACCAAGTATTTTTAAATGCAATGTAAAATGGACAAACTTGGTTCAAATGATTCATAACACAATGAGATTATTTCCTTTCCAAAGGAACTCCAAAATCCCCTTCAGTCAATGGAGGATTGTTTCGACCAAGTATTGCACATTAATAACATGATTAACATAACAGATCCTTTCCCTGCACGGGCAACAGAATTCAATCTAAAGGTCGATTTTACCAGCTAAGTACCATGAATGCAAGGCAAGGCAACCAAAAGACATGATATTGGCAAGAGAAGATAACCCGTGAATCATGCCAAATTTCTTGTTCATAGCTGCAAGCTTTGGGTTCACCTTTGCAGCTTCCCTGTTCTTTGACCAACCAACTTCCTCTCCAATGTTCTCTTCTCTCTCAATTTTGTGCCTTTCCTTCATCATCTACCTCACAAGAACAAAGTTTCAGATATTAACAAGAAAAGCCATAATACTCCAACAGATAGAACTCAAAACTGGACCAAACTGAATAAGGACATTCTTGCAGCATTTCTCTATGAATCTTCCTCAGCCAAAAGATAACAAAAATTATTGTTGACATAAATTAACAATTATTTATTATTATGTTCCACAATCCAACATTTTGATCAGTGGACCAACACTAAGAACTCAACATAAAATTGACGTGAACAATAGCAAATTTGGAATTCCATAAAAGTCTGATCAAGCTGAAAAATAACTAAAATATCATTCATCATCAATTAACTACTAATTTAAGTATCAGAGAAGACTTATTAACAAAAATTCTTTCTTTTTTTTTTAGAAAAAATGGATGTTTAATTTGAATGAGCTTACTGCAAAATCTCATGAAGAAGAACATATAGAAAATGCAACATAATGTAAGTGTTTGACTCGAGATATTCTTTTAACTACTATAATTGGTGTTAGTAACCGGACAAGTTGTCATAGTTGCACACTACCAGGAGAATTCCTCATTTGAAAATCTTTCAAACATTCTATGGATGATTATGTATAATATGTACAACGTGCGTTAAGTATTACAGCAATAACGAGCACTCACGGTTAAGTATTACAGCAATAAGGCCGAGGCATTTCTCATATATTATATATCAACAACACAAATATTTACTACCCGTGGGTTTTTTTTGGATAATTGATGGGTGATGTTAAAGTTTAGGGATCAGATTGAAGTGTGAATTCAGGACCATAATTAATAAAGCTCATAATTTATTGGACAAGCAGAAAAAAATAAATAAATAAATAAATAATCATTCAAATTTCATTTTTTTTAAAAATAAAATAAAAAAACCTGATATGTGATTGGGAAATGAAATGAATTACCCCGACGGTCATGGGTGTAAAGACAAAGAGATTGGTGAGATTGAAAAGGAAGGCAGAGAGAAGGAAGACCAGCTGGTACTTGTCGACAGTGGATGAAGACTTCCATGGATGTAGGTAGCCAAAAGACGCCACCGAGATCGCACAGCACACCCCAACCATTGAAAAGTATGCTGGAAACATCTTGCTCTGAAGATTACCGAATTGATGCCTCGGAAGATTCCTGCAATCATATAATGATAAAGCGTAAACAAGAAATTAAGGGGAAATTGGGTTAAAAGAAGAGAAAAGAAATTACTTGAACATGATAATGCCGCCGATAAAGGTGACCCATAAAGCAGCGCCCCAAGCAGTGGAAAAACAGAGGAGATGAGCGAGTTTGAGGTAGGTGGAGAGGTTGGATGGAAAGTGACCGTCCGATTTTGATCCAAATGACTCAGGTGAGAATATGATTCCCACTGCCAAAAAAGCCACCGCAGTCAGAAATCGAGTAATCCAACCCATCTCTTAGACGCTTAGGGTTATGATTCTCTCTCTCTCTCTCTTTCTTCTCTATTCTACTACTCGTATAATGTTTTTCTTCGTCTCGTCTTTTGAGGAGGAGGTTGCAGCAAGCAAAGCAAACAACGTAGCGGTCTTCTCTTCGTATGTAGCGGTCTTCTCTTCGTATGTACTATGTACTACTGGCTACACCTACTTTTTCAGGTGGGACTAATGCACGTGACCCACGAGGACTTCGTTTTCCTTGTAAAGCAATTTCTCACCTTCCTTAATAAATTGCTAAGAAGAGATCACTGTCACCTAAGGTAATGGTCCAATAAATTCTCTTCTTAATTTTTCATTGTGAAACACTCCTGAAAACTCAAATATAATAAGAAATATATTATGGAAATTGTGAAATAAGATTTTTTTAAAATTGCAACATCTTAAACATGTAACATTAATTAAAAAAATTAACAATCTTACAAACGAATGGGTTTGAGTCGTTTCATAACTAGTCGGGTCGATAATGAATTACTAATCTTCTAATGACTCATTTTTGTTGGGTCATGAACAGGTCAATAATTAAAAAACAATGCAAAATCATGCTTTATATTATTTGAGCCTGATTTTTTCGGTTGATTATTGATATTTCAATCACTTTTCAAAGTATACAAGATTGAAGTCTATGCAAAAGACAAAAGTAAATATATGAATTTATTGCAAACAATACAGCAAAATAAATAAATAAATTTACAATAGACTTCATGGCTTTCAATTCATTAACTGACTGGAATATCAAAAGAGTGTATTTTTAGTTAAACTAGAAAAAAGTATTACTAAATTAGACTGGGATGTTTATTTGATCCGTTAATCTCTCAATCTAATTGGATTCAATCCAATTCGTACTATTCAAATTGATTTTTTTACTGTAAGGGTTCGTTACAGATTTATAAATTTGGAATATGTATGATTGACTCGATTCACAAATTATGGTCTCAAAAAATCGATTAAATCCGTGAAACCATTAATAAATATAATTTATATATATATATATATACTAATTCTTTGAACTCTAAACATCAATTTACCCCTTTTATTCACAAACAGACACAAAGCCTATTCTGTTTTACTGATTCTTTAATAATATAATTCTTTTGTTTGGTGGATCATTTCGTATTCTGTTTGCTGATTGGTTATTTCCAGTTGTGTGATGTTCGGTTTTGTAGTAGTGTTGTTGGATTGGTTTGGCTACTGAAGCATTTATTTTAATTGGATTACTGTAGATTCCTTTTCATGGTTATTTTAAAATTAATTATAGAGTAAAGTGAAGGAAAAAAAAAAAAAAAAAAAAAAACCAAAAAAAAAAAATCAGAAAAACTAACTCAGCTATGTAAAACTATGTAAAAATTGTTCTTGACCATAAAATTTGACTATATATATATATATATATATTAAAATTCCAAAATATTACATGAAATCAATGATTTTATTTTTATTTTGTCTTAAGAACATTTTAGGTATTGTAGTCTTCAAATTAACAAAAAAAAATTATTTGTTCAGTTTAAAAATGTAGAGGAATCTTTTTTTTAATAAATAAGGAGGTATTTGCACATTTTCTATATAACATATATATATATATATATTTTTCACTTTACCCTTAAATATATGAACTCATGTTTGATAAATTAAAAATTTATCTATTAGGTCTAGATCAACATACACACAATCTATAAGAAGCGGATATGTTTAGGTTACATTAGGAAGTACAAATTCAAACACTAGATCTCAAAGAAAAATAGGACACGGTATAACAATAAATAATAATATATTATATAGTCATTTTATCCATATAATAATGAATAAAATCACTAATTTGGAGGGATTTTTTTAACACTAATTTGGAGCTTAGAGCTAAATGTTGTGTTTTCTTAAATTTTATATTATTTTTTTACTTAACTTATAATATATTTTAAATTGCATTGAATATCTTTTTTTTTTTGATATAAAATAATAAAATTTTTGATATAAAATAATAAAATTACCGGTCATATCATGAGTGTCCAAAATGTATCTTTACCGTGTCCATATTACATCCAAAATTGGAGAGGTTAATGGGTTAAACCAAATAAGAACCTGATTAAATCCTAATCTAACCAAATCAAATTTTAATCTAACTCTATCTCTCTAGCCTTCTCTAATTCTCTCTCCCGACCACATAATCGAAAGAAATAATAATGGTGAACATATATTTACTAATCTTATTCATTAATTTCTATAGTCGAATGATTCATACAGGGAATCAAGTTAAACATACTATCAATCCAACGCAAGAACCCCATTAATTTGCTACCATTTTTTTTTTTTTTGGGAAAGAATAAAATTGTTCAGTTAAATACTTGTTAAAATATGGCTTGGAGTTCTTCCTCAGAGATACTATAAGCCATGGTGGAGGTGCCGCCGCCAAAGGAGTATATATTCTTCTTTGACATCAACTGCGCTGCTGTGCTTCATGAAGATCAGACAAAAAAACAAGATTGCTTATTGGAGGCTAATCTGTTTCGAAGAACTAAACTCTCACTAGGCTAGTTACAAATTAGGGCTTCGGTTAATAATAAAAGTGTAAGAGATAGATTTAAATTAGGATTTAATTGAGATTATATTCTGTCTAACCCATTAACCTCTCAAATATTTTATTATTTATTTTTTTATATTTAGGACCCTTGTCATTTTATTTGTAAGCCACGTCTGCGATAGGTATGAACTTCCTATTACCTATGAGTAGCAAGTATTGTTTTTATTTATTTATTTATTTATTATTGTTAATCTATTGATTTAATATTTCTTTTATGATTTAGGCTTTCCTTCATACAACAACTTTAAATAGATAATTTTGATTAAGTGCATCACAGGTACTCTGTTACAAGGTGTGTATCCATAAACCAAAGACAGAAGAAGCAAGAAATGAAACTGTTGCGACATCTATTTCTTTGTTTATAGTCAAGATAGGCCGCTCCTTTGACTGCCATTTGTGGGAAATAAGGAATATCTCACCCAAGAGTTCGTGGGTTGGTCAGCCAAAGAGCCCTAGCTCTGGAATAGTCGATGAATTGTGGGTTGGTAGGGATAACAATGCCTCTCTCTATTAGTGTTTGCAGCTTGTGTGGGGACATGACATATGAAATAGCGGATGGATTTGGTTAGACAATGTGGTGTTGGTAAACAAGGGTCAATCAATGGATTTGGTTCCTCCGTCCTCTGGTCGCTGTTGTTTCTATTCTAGATCATCTGAAAATAGGGGCGCCCGCAGGTTATGAAAAGACTTTTTTCCAGTTTGTCGGTCCCCGATTATAAGTTCTCGTCGGTCATTCTTGGTTTCTTGGCTGCAAATCTTCCGGTCCTGGGAGAGGTGGCGACCATTATCAAGAAATACAAATATTTTGCTTTTCAAGTACATTTGCTCTATTTTTTATTATTTTTTTTTGGAAGGATACATTTTGTCTATTGTTGCTTTATCTTTTAGACTACTGTTCATATATATATATATATATATATGCACCCGCAACTTCTCTTCATATTATTAGAACTTTAAATACACAGCTAATAAATTGATTGCACGCTCATAATTTATTAGGTGTTAAATCTACACTACTCTGCTATTAAAAGTGTAGATTTTTATTTTTATATTATTTTTATGCAATTTAATATATAAATAATTACCTATATAAATCACTTTTTAAATGTCACATTATTAATTTATTATTTTTTCCTTTTAAACTTATTGGCTTTATAGGCCGCCCTTCCGCGCTCTTTATTGCGAACCATCTTTGTCACCACCGCCCGCCAATTCCGTCCTTGCTAGATCCATCAGGGCCGAGCACCTCCTTGCATCGGCTATACAGACCCGCTTGGGTCAGACTGACTTATATAAATCATTTTTCAATATCAATTAATTTATTGATTTATTGTTTTTTCTTTGTATAGGCTTTCTGCCTACCTATCAGTTATGAACTACTTTTATATATATATTTGATATTAATTAGTTATATATATATTTGATATGTTTGAAAAAAAACCAAGTAAGCTCAAACTGCGTATCATGCACTCCCTTTCAACTTGTAAAATTCCCACATTAGGGCATTAAGTAGTTGATCAATCGAGTCACATTGTCAAATGTGGTGTTCTTGTGTTTCCAATTAAAGGTGGTAGACCAGAAAAGTTGTAATCTGGGGTGGGCATTAATAAATAATAATCCTAGTCCAATAGACGCCAATGAGCATAAAATTGAAAAGGGTTGGTCAAATCTTAACATCAAAAGAAAAAAATTTGCTGATTTTCCATGGTCATTTGGTTGAAACGGAATAGTATTCCACGGACCAGTGCACACACAAAGACTAAATAAATACATATAATAATATAAGTTTTGTATTATACGGAATAGTTAATATTAATTAGAATATTTATGGTGATTAAAAAAAAAAATTAGTGTTATTGTACATCAGTTCACACAGCTTAGTCCATATGCAATACTACTGGTCCTCTTAGTCCGGTCCATATGCAATACTATTATTTATCTTAGCTCAGTCCATTTTGCAATCCTGGCTCTGCTCCTAAATAAGAGTAACTTAAAAATAGGGTAATTTACAAAGATTTTCCCTATGATTTACCACATTTATACAGACCTCCCTCGTAGTTTGGGAATTTATTCGAATCTCTCCTAACAATGAAAATATCCTACACGGACTTCCCTTTTGTTAGAGTCAACGTTAGTCAATGACGAAATATACTGACGTCGTGTACAAAATTTATTAAAATCTCCATAATACTCTTGTCTCTACTAATTGATATATACACACACACACACACATAACCGTTGTGAAACAACGGTCCATTTTTTGTTCATTATTAGGGCTCAAATTTGGGAGCTGTTATCCATTGCTCAACCATGACTGGGTTCATCTGCAAATCAAGTCTTCTAGGTACATTTTGGAAAAATAATAATAATAATAATAAGAAGAAGAAGAAGAAGAAGATTGTTCGAATAATTTGAAGAAAAATGATGAAGATGGAGAAGACTTCATCTGTAACTTAGGGCTCAATATTTTGGGTACGTTTTGTTCATCTACAAATCAAGTCGTATGGGTATGTTTTGGAGAAGAAGAATAAACAAATTGTGTAA